AATATAGGGGCCTTAAGGATTAGAATAGGGCTTTGGGGGCCTGAAGGATTAGAATAGGGTTTAGGCGGTAAAGGGGCCTTGAGGATTAGAATAGGGCTTATAGGGGCCTGAAGGATGAGAATAGGCTTTTGGGGTGGCACATTCTACTGTAAGGGTACTTAGATTCTGAGGCTTGGGGGGCCGCAATAGCTAGTGTAGAGCTTTGAGGTACATTAGACTGCATTTATAAGGAACCCCCGAGACAGTATTGGTAATTTTGTAGGACCGTATTGTAGGGGAGGCTCAGATGATGGCGGCCCAGGCACCCCTAAGTGAAACACCCGTATGCATCCGAGAGAGGATGGGCCAAGAGTCCTGAGGTGACGAGTCCTGCGAAAAGACCCTGATTAGGAAACCGCCTGTGCCATCTAGCCGATGTTTATCTGCTGATGCAAAGGGGCATGTTGCGGGTGGCTATGCCCCGAATGCACCTACCTGCAGCTTGCCTGCAATCCACCGTCAAACTACTGTCATCACACATATATCCCATGGTGCCAGCCTCCACATCCTTGATTCGCTTCAGAGCCTGCCTGCACCGTGACATGCAACTTAATAGTTGGAATAAGGTTTTGGGGTATATTATACTATAGTCATACATGAGGAATCACCAAAATTATATTGGTAAGACCCATTGGTAAGAGATGATCATGGCAGCCACAGTGAGATTACGGCAAACGCAAAGATGTGCCAAAAGCTCTCGCTGGCAACAACTAGATCGGTTGCTGCAATAAGCTGCGGTTGCTGCATCCCCAGTAAGAATCCAAGGAGTCCGGCTCAAGACCAAGGGGAATTATGGGACCACGGATGTCCCACATGCCTTGTAGTCTCAATTCAACTTTCATTTTCTAGGTTCCTTTCAGGGGTTTAGGGTTTAGACCCTAAACCCTAAACCCTAAACCCTAAACCCTAAACCTTAAACCCTAAACCCTAAACCCTAAACCTGGGATTGTCTGGCGGTCGACCTTCTTGCCATCTCGTCCTCACTGGTGCAGGGTTCCAGGCCCTGGGACCAGGGGGGAGCTGGAGGCTCAAAGCAGCAAGAAACAAAGAAGCGTGAAGGGTTTAGGGTTTAGGGTTGAGGGTTTAGGGGTTTAGGGTTTAGGGTTGAGGGTTTAGGGGTTTAGGGTTTAGGGGTTTAGGGTTTGGGTTTTTTCGGGTTTAGCTTGTTTTGTATACAGGGGGCTGAATAGTTAGAATAGGGCTTTGGGCTCCTTTATAGCGGAAGTATACATAACACGCATGAAGGGTACTGTAATGTAGGGGGCTGAACAGTTAGAGCAGGGTTTTGGCCGAGCTTGTCATCGTGACGGATGGGTCTTGGAACTTGCGCTGCCTTTTGACAAAGACCTCAACCAGCACCCTCTACCCTTGCTGCATAGTGATGCTACTTCCGCTACTACGACCTCGACTACCACGACGACTGTCATGTAGTACTTAGGCTGAGTACCCTAGCCCAAAAACGGTTACCTTTTCATTAAAGTAGGCTTATCTGAGCCCCAAAAGGTCAAAGGTTACCTACTCAGCCCCTAAGATTCATATAGAAAGACCCGAAAGCCAAGATTCGGCAAAGACTTGATCGCCTCTTCTGGTAAGGAAAGACTAAGAAGCACAGTCAGCTCTTGCTCTCTAAACAGCGCTGGAGGCCCCAGAATTCCCATCCTCGAAAATGGAAGCCGGCCTATAGTCTCCATTGTAGTTCCTTTTTCTGGTCTAACCAATGTATATAATTGGGATCCTAAGTCTATAAGGTAACTCCAAAAAGGAACTACAATGGAGCCTATAGGGGGAACCTCAACCACTGAACCCGGTCCGCCCAAGAGCACAGGGCACCTGCGCAGCTGCCCTCGGAGTGCAAACAAGAATGTCAGGCACCTGTGACGCTCACATTTGGGTAGTTGTCAAAATTAGGGTCCCTTTGGGGTACCCTAAATAATAGGTGCCGTATTATAATAAGGACCCAAAAAGGGACCATAATTTTGACAACCACCCACATGACGGCGGCTTGCACACGCAGGAGTAGAAATCCAAAAGACAGAGTAAAGGGATGTTGGGACTCTCTGTGCAGCCTTTTCCAAGGGTATACCAGGGTTTAGGGTTTAGGGTTTAGGGTTTAGGGTTTAGGGAGTGAAGACGTGTTCCTTACATTCCGGTATTTGATGAACTTTGGGGTTCAGGATTCAGGGCTTACTTTTTGGTTCACGCGTTTGGCGGGAGTCTCTCGGCAGGCTCTTAAAATCCAAGCCCTCAAGCCTACACTCTGAATGCTAAAACCATAGAGCTTATACTGTAAATCCCAAACACTGAACCCCAATTCCTGAAACCAAGTCCTGAACCCAAGTTCCCTAAACGCTGAACCCCTGAACCCGAAGCCCGGTTCTGGACCCTGAACCCCAAACCCGAAGCCCTGAGAACCCGGCTTCTTGGGGCCATCCGCGTCGCGCGTTGTGGACGGAAATGGGGCCACGGTCTGCTCGGATGGCCTGACAACCAGAAGACATAATGTAGGGGCCTTAACAACTAGAATAGGGTTTTGGGGCCCAGAATACCAGAGTTATGATCAGGAACCCCAAAACAGTATAGGTAATTCTTAAGGCTCCTCTATTAGAGTATGTAACATAGGGGACTTAAGAGTTTGAAAGGTTCCTTTACGGGTTTTTTTCAGGGATCAAACCCCAAACCCTAAACCCAATCATCCCTAACCCCCCCCAGGTACCTATTTTCTAGGGTACTAGAGGTTCTAGGGCCCTATATAGTAGGTACCTGGCAGGGCATGGTTACCATAGCATGAGGGCTCTGACATATACGGGCCATGAGACTTGGAATACACCGGAAATCCTGCAGCTCAAACCCCACAATCCTCAACCCTGATCTACAAGGCTTGAAACCTAAAACCCTACACCCCAAACCTTTAAACCCGAAATAAACCCCTAAACCCTGAATAAAGCCTTTCCTGGTAGCCGAGCCTGCGCAAGCTGCTTCGCGACCATGGACACCTGCACCGTCCATTCACCCTTTGTGCAGTGAGCAGCTCGAACATTCCACGGTCCCAAGGATTTTCCGGTTCGGTTTGGGTTTTGTGAAAGCCGCGTCTCTCCGAAGGCTTGATCCAACACGACGTTCAGGGCCTTGTTTAAAGTGCCCCTTTCAATAAGAGTGCAGCTCTATGGAGAGCCCGATATGGGACCTCAATTTCGATCAGTCTTGCCCCGCACTCAATTCAGATCAGTCTTGCCCACACTCCGCCGAACACAATTTGGGGGTTTCCGAAAATAGGGGACCAAAATAAGGTACCCCCTATTTTCGGAAACCCCCATTTTGGAAACATCAAAAGCACGAAGCTACGAAGCTGTGGCCTGGACTCCCAACTCCAGGCTGGGCACCAGGACGAGAACAGTGGGATGACGATCATCTGAGACATGGCGAACCGATGTGCTCTTGCTGAAGCTCGACCCTGAACCCCAAAACTTCAATCCTAAACCCTAAACCCTAAAATTCCAATCCTAAACCCTAAACCCTAAATCTTCAACCCTAAACCCTAAACCCCAAATCTTCAACCCTAAACCCTAGACCCAAAATTTTCAACCCTACGCCTTAGACCCAAAAGCTTCAACCCTACAGGAACCCCTAAACCCCCTAAAACCTCAACCCTAACTGCCTATAGTCTCTATTGTAGTTCCTTTTTCTGGTTTAACCAATTCTATAATTGGGATCCTATAAGGTAACCCCAAAAAGGAACTACAATGGAGACTATAGGTACACTATTACTTGGACCGCTTGGGAGAGTTATGCCCTGCAGCGGCACCGAGCCGTGCGCAGGCGATCCTTTCAGC